CTGGATTTGGCAGGATGTAAGTTGCTGGTGGTCTTGACAGAATAGCTTCAGTGCCATGTTGGGCCTGAAAGACTACAAGTTAAGAATTTCAGTCAAATTAAACTTAGCAGAATTTAATTAAACACAGAACAATTTGCAAATTATGCAACTCTCAGAACCAGAAGAGATTCAGAGAGCTCCACTTTGCAATGTGGGCAAGCAGCATGTATGAATGAAAATGGGAGTCAAGTACAGAAATGGATTGATTAGTTATAGTTTCTGATTTGCCTTGGAACGTGGTCTGATGTGGCTGCCTATAATTGACAAAAGCTCAGCTGTGTGATTGGCTGAGATCAGTTGTTGGTTGAAATGCGTATTTGTAAGGTAGGCTTCCGGTTGGTTTATGTACTAAGTTAGGTTGCAGTTCATTATGTAAAAACTCAACCATAGTGGCATAATCTCGCCAAATTCAGTTTAACCAATAAGAGAAAGTAAAAGTTGAGTTGAGGTAAACCAAACTTCTTGGGGATTTTTGCTTCAATGGTAGACATTTATGAAGGGTGAAAGATGGAATAAGGTCAGATCTCAGGAATTATTTTAAGAAAGATGTTGGGATTTGATAAATATATCCCTTTCATATATGCCCCCATTTGAAATCTACTGAGGGTTAGAAAACAGTCAATGACCAAAATATTGCTTTTCATTACTTACAAAACTATTGGCAGAGTGATTTAATACTACAGCAAAAAATGCAACTGAGGTTATTTTACAGAAAATTAGACATAATTGCCTGCCCCATCCCTGGCAATACTGAACAGTTGTAGACTATCCATGATCCATGTTGGGGTCTGCCCTTATAAAATGTTTACTTTTAGGGAAGGAATAGAAGGTGAGCTTTCTGTAGGCAGGCAGAGCCCGTGGAGGAAAGTAAGAGGAAGAAGAAAGTGAGCACAGCTTGTTCATTTACCACTCAGAACACTGACTGCAGCTTTGTGCTATTTTAATTAAAGTACTCGAGAGGAATGTCTTGGGAAGGATAGGTTTATTTTGGTTTATAAATTGGAAGTTCACTGTTCAAGGCCGAGAGGCTTCAGTAGTCTGGCCTCTGGTGCAGGCTGGCAATTGTGGTTCTGTGGGAAGGAAAGAGTACATGGTAATCCAAGAAGCAGAGAGAGAAGCTGGGCCTGACTCAAATTAAATAACCAGTCTTCCAAAGTCAAGACCCCCTTCCAAGGTCAAGACCCCAATGACCTAGTGATATCCCACTGGGCCCACCTCTTAGCCACAATTAGCCACCATAATTAGATCACATCTCCACACTAATCCATCAATCATTAGCTTGAATCCATTAATTCTTCCCATAAGACTTTGGATTTTAATTATCTCTGTAAGCGATTTTCCTTTTTTTAAGACTTAATTATTTATTTGAAAGTCAAAGCTACGGGGGTGGGGAAGGAGGGGGAGAAAGAGAGAGAGAGAGAGGAAAGAGAGAGAAGAGAAAGAGGAGAGAGAAAGAGAGAGAGATTGATCTTCCATCTGCTGGTTCACTCCTCAGATGGCCACAATGATCAGGGCTGAGTCAAGCTGAAGCCAGGAACCAGGAGTTCACCTGGGTTCCCCACATGAATAGCAGGGGCTCAAACACTTAGGCCATCTTCTACTGCTTTCCCAGGCACATTATCAGAGAGCTGGATCAAAAATGAAGCAGCTAGGACATGAACCAGCACTCGTACGGGATGCTGGCATCACAGGCAGCAGCTTAACCTGCTCTACCACAACACTGGCCCTGTGTAAGTTGGAGGAGCTAAGTCCTGTTCAACCCATAACACTCTTCCCCCTCTGGAGGAGCCAGTGAGGAATTCTTCCCTGATGAGATATTCCACCATGTCTGCTTATTGATGGAAACAACTGAAGCGGGAGAGGAGGAAACAGATGACAGGAGAGAAGAGGAGAATTTCAAGAGCAGAGTCCTTGAATGATTCACAGGAGAGGAGATCCACGACACAAGAATTTGACAGGAACTAGGAGAGTTTATCTCATTTACCAGGAACAAAGGCACAAAATGGCATATCATGGGAAGCCATGACACGGTGGCAAAAAACGATCTAAATGAAAGATCCTGGTGAACAAGACCCCAGCAGAAGGATCAGGCCATCAAGGAGAGAGGCGCCTTTCTCTGAAGGGAGGAAGGAACCTCCACTGTGATATGGCCTTGACTAAACAAGTTCAGAGTTGGTGAACTCAAGAGGCTTCCATAGACTAGACAGCTCATAGCAAGAGTCTCGGGTGATTGCTGATGCCATAAATAAGAGTGCCAATAGTTAAATCAACAATGGGAGTCACTGAGTACAGGCTCCCCATGTAGGATCTCTGTCCTTAATGTGTTTTACTATAAAACTTAAAAACAACACTACTAGTCGAACAATGCCCTATACCTTGTGCGGTTGTGTGAGTGCAGCCTGTTGAAATCCTTGCTTAGTGTATACTAAGTTGATCTTCTGTATATGAAGGTAATTGAAAATGAAACTCGATAAAGGGCAGGATAGGAGAGGGAGTGGGAGAGGGGAGGGCCGCGGGAGGGAGGGAGGTTGGGGGGGGGAGCCACAACAATACAAAAGTTGCACTTTGTAAGTTCACATTTATTAAATAAAAAATAATAATAATAAATGGCATTCAGAGTTAAGAGAGATTAGATTGACAAATTTGTTGTTCAAAGATAAATTTCTCTTCTAAATGTCCTTATTTCTCTGTCATAGGAAGTAAGATCATCAGCTATGAGTGAGAAGGGGAGAACAGGTTTCAAGAGAAAGAAGGTGTGAAGTAATTTTCTCAGAGTGGGGAAGTAAATTGACCAGAGACAAAGAAAATTAAGCAACACTGAGGATCCACTTGAGCTTCGTGCAAGCTCAGGCAGCATGGTGATAGATTTTTTTCTCTGGCCATACTCTATTCAGACACAAGGAGAGAGGAGGTAGTGAGCTTTTTTGAACCAATGTTGTGGGTTTTCAGGTGATTCTTATGGACAAAAAAAGCAGAAAGAATGTTTAGGCTGTATGCAAAGGACTTGTACGATAATTAGGGGTGTCATTTTGTCATCTGTAAAATACAAGTATTGCTGAAGGTAGCAGGCATGAACTGACTGTATCTTCAACTCCCAACTCGACAAAAGTGTCTGTGGTTTTATCTTATACCTGAAATCCTAACATAATTTATTCCCCGGAGTTAAACATTATTTTATTCTTTGAATTCTATTTCAAAGAAAATGAAAGAATGACACAGTACTTGTGACTTGGGTTTGAATCCCAGCTCTACAAGTTAGTGGCTCTATGACTTTCACAAAGTTCTCCAATGTTTAAAATAACTAGAATTATAGTATCTTCCTCTTAAAGTTATCAAGAGGTAGAATAAGATAATGTGTAAGCTGTGTATATCAGGATACCTGGACCATGGCAATCAGTCAATAAATGCTAGATATTTTTAAAGTTATCATAAATCTTTCTAATAATGTAGGGAGGATTATAGATAAAATAGAAAACAAAAAATATTATAGAAAAAATCAACAAATCCAAAAGGCTATTCCTAGAAAGAGGTTTCTAATAACCAAATCTATGGAGAAGGGTATCAAGAGAAAAACACACAAGAAACGCTAGAAATGAAAGCTGAGAAATAAAATATGAGAATATTGTTTATACTTAATGCCAGTACCTTCGAACACATAAAAAATGGATGTTTCTAGAAAAATTTTACCTTACCAAGTTTCAGAGGAAACAGAAAGTTAGAATTTTCCTATGATCATAACTGGGTACTCATGACTAGGGGAGTGGATAGGTATAATAAGGTTGCTTCATATTTTGAAGTTCTATGCAGCAATTGGCAACAACTGTCTAGATATGCACATGGGCACTTAATTGTGTCTGATAAATATGTATGAGAAGAGTGAGGAAGAAACAAGTCTATTGCACAACACCATTTATAAAAATTAAAATACATGCAAAAGCATATGTTACAATAATACATGCAGAGCAAAGGATTCATACCAAACAAATTATAATATTTTCTCATGAGAGGGGAACAGGTAGTGAAGGGAAGGAGAAAGAGGAAGGAAGGGAAGAACTAAAGAGAAAGAGGGAGATAGGAAAAAAGGCCACATGTTCAAGGATCCAAACTATGAACACTGAAAATATTTCCACTGTCTCCAAATGGATTTATACATTCGATAAAATTCTAATAAAATCCCTCTAGGGTTCTTAGTGGAAGTTGACAAATTGATTTTAAAATTTATGTAGAAGAACAAAAGGTTGAGAATAGTCACTATATTCCTAAGGGAGAATAACAAGGCAAAGATCATGACTTATTGCAAGATCAAACAAAAATCATGACTTATTGCAAAGCATTAAGAGTTAAGAACATGATTTTGTCACAAGTGTGGCAAATGAATCCATGGGATTTAATACAGGACAAAGGATAGACTAGAATATAGAAGCCCACATATATGGAAGCCTGATCTGTGACAGAGGTAGAAAAGGCATAGATTATGTAAGGGCCAGGTGCTTTGTTATGAATAGAATTTTATCTACTTCCAAATTCATATGTTGAAGCTCTCAGCTACACGTGACTGTATTTAAAGACAGAACCAGTAAGGAGACAATAAAGGTTAAATGAGGTTATAAGAATGAATGCTTGTCCAGTGCCGCGGCTCACTATGCTAATCCTCCGCCTTGCGGCGCTGGCACCCTGAGTTCTAGTCCCGGTTGGGGCGCCGGATTCTGTCCCGGTTGCCCCTCTTCCAGGCCAGCTCTCTGCTGTGGCCCGGGAAGGCAGTGGAGGATGGCCCAAGTGCTTGGGCCCTGCACCCCATGGGAGACCAGGAGAAGCACCTGGCTCCTGCCATCGGATCAGCACAGTGCGCCGGCCGCGGCGGCCATTGGAGGGTGAACCAATGGCAAAGGAAGACCTTTCTCTCTGTCTCTCTCTCACTGTCCACTCTGCCTGTCAAAAAAAAAAAAAAAAGAACGCTTATCTGATAGGATGGATTCCTTTCTCAGAAAAGGAAGAGACTCTAGAGCACATATTCTCTCTTTCTCTCTCTCTCTCTCTCTCTCTCCCTCCCTCCCCTCAGAGCAAAAGTCATGTGAGGATACAGGGATTAGGTAGCCACCTAAGCCATCTACAAGTCAGAAGAGAGGCCTCACCAGAACCCAGTCCTGTTGCCAGCTTGATCTTGCTTGGACTTCTGGCCTCCAAAACTGTGGGAAAGTGAATTTCTGTTGTTTAACCCACCCATGCTGTGATGTTTTGTTATAACAGGCTGAGCTAATTCATACATACTTGGTCCTCATTGGAAAAATGAAATTATTGGTCCACCGCTGCCGCCTCCTTCTTCTGCCGCTCCTGGTGCTGCCTGTGTGCTCGTCCGCTGCGGACCTGGTACCTCTTTTGTGACTCCGGTGCTCGCCATGGCCGACAAAAATCCCAAGGAAGGAGTCAAGACTGAGAACAATCATATTAATTTGAGGGTGGCGGGGCAGGATGGTTCTGTGGTGCAGTTTAAGATTAAGAGGCATACACCGCTTAGTAAACTAATGAAAGTCTATTGTGAACAACAGGGTTTGTCAATGAGGCAGATCAGATTCCGATTTGATGGACAGCCAATCAATGAATCAGACACACCTGCACAGTTGGACATGGAGGACGAAGATAGGATTGATGTGTTCCAGCAGCAGAAGGGCAGTGTCTACTGAAATGGGAACCCGCTGCTTTCCTCCAGAACTCCGCCCTTACAGACCAAGAGCACATTCTCAACTAGAAAACCGCGACTGGGTTCCATCTCATCCTGACTACTGCTGCGCAGTTCTCTCTATTCTTTCATTTATTTCCCCTCCCCATTCCTTTATTGCACATAGCATATTGCATTTTTTCTTTTCTTTCTCTCTCCTTTATTTTTTTAAACTAAATGGCCAATGGTATGCTTTGATTGACATCAAATGGAGATGGAATGGGGAAAAAACCCTGGTTCTGTGAAAATATCCCCTTTCTCCACGAGTGGCATGCTCATTCAGCTCTTATCTTTACATTCCAGTAAGTTATTTTGCTCTCACTGTTTTAACAACAACAAAAAACCCAACAACATAAAAATCCTTGCATACCTTGATTGATTGGAGAATTTTAATGTTTTTCATTGATCATTATAAAACCAAGGACAATTTTATAACTTTTTTGTACATAGCTGTTCCATGTAGGGCAATCTGTCTTTAAGTAGGGGTAAATTACTCTGAAAAAATGAATCTTACATAATTTTCCTTTCGAGTCAAGCGTCTTGTTGGTTAAATAAACTTCTTGTTTAAAAAAAGGAAAAATGAAATTATTTCCTTCCCATGCCACTAATAAAAGCCAATTACATACGTACTAAAGATTTAAGTATGAAAACAAAACTTGAAATGAAAACTTATGGTAGACAATGTAAGTTATAGTTATGATCTTGATGTCAGCAAAGATCCCTTAAATCTGATGAAAAGAGTAATCATAATGGAAATTGTTGGTAATTTTGACTACGTTACAATTTAAAACTTCTATTTACCAAAGGGTACCATAAAGAAAGTCAAAAGACATTATTACATGGGAAAACAACAAAGCATTAGTATTCAGAATACAGTTTTTTTTTTCTGAAGTTGCATTGTCAACAAGTGAAAGCAAAAGGAAAAAAAAATTCCAGAGGAAAATATCCAAAATACATGAATCTAGAGGAACTATAAACAGTCAATGAACACAGCAAAAGTGTCCAGGCTTGTTGATGTTCAAAAAAGTACAAATTAAAATCCTAGCAACATGTTATTTCTTATACATCAGATTGGCAAGCCTTCTACAGTCTGCCAACACTAAATGCTGGCAAAATATGTGGGATGGGCTGATCTTTCCTGTAGCACTGGTGGGGATGTGCATTTGTACAACCAGTTTGGAAAGCAACTTGGTTTTTTTGTTGTTGTTGTTTTGTTTTGTTTTGTTTTTTGACAGGCAGAGTGGACAGTGAGAGAGAGAGACAGAGAGAAAGGTCTTCCTTTTGCCGTTGGTTCATCCTCCAATGGCCGCAGCGGCCAGCACGCTGCAGCCAGTGCACTGCGCTGATCCGCTGGCAGGAGCCAGGTACTTATCCTGGTCTCCCATGGGGTGCAGGGCCCAAGCACTTGGGCCATCGTCCACTGCACTCCCTGGCCACAGCAGAGAGCTGGCCTGGAAGAGGGGAAACCAGGATAGAATCCGGCGCCCCGACCGGGACTAGAACCCGGTGTGCTGGCGCCGCAAGGCGGAGGATTAGCCTAGTGAGTCGCGGCACCGGCGCAACTTGGTTTTACACGGTGAGGGTGACGGTGGGTCTACCCACAACTCTGATCTTTCATACTTATTTTGTGCCCCAGAGGAATTTGCATGTGTACATCAGGAGTCAGATAGGAGAATGTTCACAGCAGCACTGGTCGTATTTGCCAAGAACCAGGAAGAGCACAATGTTCATGAAAATTAGAATGTATAATAAATTGGAGGATAATCATAACAAGAAATGCCATACAGTGGTGAACATAAGAGAACCACAGCTATATATTTTAGCACACGTAAATCTCAAACGCATACTGAATTGGAAAAAAGCAAGTGGCAGTCACATAAACCATTGCATTCACATCCATTTTTAAAACATGTAAATGCACCAGCAGTGCTTCTTTAAAGATAAAATATGTAAAAGAGGGCAATAAAATGAGACAGAAATTATAAACATGAAAAAGAAGAGAAACGAATTCAGCTGGAGATACATCAAAGGTTCTGGAAATCCACATTTGTCTTTTATTTCTAAGATGGTGTGCCATATACCTGGGTGTTCACCCTATTTCCCTTTATGACATATGTTCCAAACATATACATCCACACAAGGGTCTTCTAAAGTTCATGGAAAATATACACTATCTCTTAATTCCATTTCTCAATGAATTTTCGAAGTTACCTCAAATATTCAATCAAGAATGTGTAGGGGCCTGTGCTGTGGCATAGTGGGTAAAACCGCTCCCTGCAGTGCTGGCATCCCATATGGGCGCCGGTTCAAGTGCCGGCTGCTCCATTTCGGATTCACCTCTCTGCTTTGGCCTGGGAAAGCAGTAGAAAACGGCCCAAGTCCTTGGGGCCCTGCACCCGCATGAGAGACCCGGAAGAAGCTCCTGGCTCCTGGCTCCTGGCTTCCGATCAGGGCAGCTCCAGCCACTGCAGCCAACTGGGGAGTGAACCAGCGGATGGAAGACCTCTCTCTCTCTCTGCCTCTCCTTCTCTCTCTGTGTAACTATGACTTTCAAATAAATAAATAAATCTTTAAAAAATGTATAGATAAATATACATAGGTTCATTCATACAGAACATACCAATTTTTTAAAAAAGCTTTATTAATTTGAAAGGCAGAGTTACAGAGAGGCAGAGGCAGAGAGAAAGTCTTCCATATTCTGGCTCACTCCCCAAATGATCACAACGGCCAGCGCTAGGCCATTCCAAAGCCAGGAGCCAGGAGCTTCTTCTGAGTCTCCCATGCAGGTGCAGGGGCCCAAAGACTTGGGCCATCTTTCACTGCTTTCCGAGGCCATAGCAGAGAGCTAGATCGGAAGTAGAGCAGCCAGGACTAGAACCGGCGCCCATATGGGATGCTGGCACTGCAGATGGCAGTTTACCGGCTATGCCACAGCGCCAGCCCCACTCATTTTTTAGTATGCCTGTAATATTTCACAATAGAACTAAAAACAATGAAAGGAAAAAAGTGTATTAAGTTTCCAGTCAATATATAAAGTTTCCGATAAAAGCTATGCCAGTTGGTTCTCACACCTTGTATTTCTTCCCCAAGCCTGGAATTCACCCTGTCCTGTGGCTTTATTCAAATATAATACCCAGAAGGCTGTGGTGGGAACACACTCCTCCAGGCCCACAATCGCACAGATTGCAGCCTGTGTTGTCAGGCCTCCTTCCTCTTCTACAGTAGAAAGAGGGGACGCTGGGGACGAAAGTCAGCATTGAAGAGAACCATCTCGATTTCCTTCCAGGTCTGAGGGGGAAGGCTCGGGCCCCGGGCCGGCACATTTCCAGAGCCTAGGGAATGCTGGCCTGCTGCGGTGAAGGCATGTGTGGACCTGACCTTCAGAGAGCAGGATCAGGCACATCGAACGAACTCAACTCTTCTGAGAACCCTCTTTCCCTTTAACGTTGCTGAAAATGGAATCAGCTGCAAACAGTGTGTGACTGTGTACACTAATTTGCATAAATCTTATCAGCAGTAATATTTAGCCAGAAACACAGTATGGTCCGGGATCAAACTATTACTTTTAAGATGAAATGGAACAGCATTCTGGCAAGCCAGTGAAACCCCTGGGACTAGCGAACCTTTTAAATACTCTGCTTTCTCCCAAGACACCGCTCCAAGCCCTCTCAAGGCTATCCAGGGTTTTGCAGTAGTTTGCCATGCTGGAGGTAAAAACACATCACTCACTCAGCTGTAGGCATGGCCCCCAGGGACCACGTGTTACTAACAGGATCATGTCACGCTTAAAGCAGAGTCCAGTGAAATCCAAGAGAACTGGGTGTCTTGTTAGAGAGATCACAGTTTGTGGAGTCGCCCTCTTCCTTCCACAGCTTTTTTTCCTTGTGAATTGTGATCACATGGCAACAGAACAACTTACATGTAAGCTTTTTACTAAACACAATTTTTGACATGATCTGTCTGTCTTTGGCTCACAATTCAGTCTACTTTCTGCTAACAATGATTCAAATTTAGATGTTTTAAATTATAGGAACTGGAAAAGCTAGGAGTCCAGCCCATCAGCTGTAATAAATTTGTATCAATTCTAGGAACTGGGAAGCTTTTAGAGAAAGAAAAGCTCTTTGAATTTTCTCCGGTTATTCATGTGCGTCACCGGATGTAATAAAATCATACCACACTGTGTTTCATTTTGTCACAATGAATGCTGCCTGTGATGGGCATGCCATGACGTGCCTAGGTAACGGAAGGAGCTGGAGTCTGTATTTCATGCAAACCTGGTAAGTGGTTAGCATGGCTCACACCTCAAGTTGGCTTGGGTTACGTACCCAGCCTCTTCATTGTTTCCCCGATATGTACAATACAAATGTATTAGGGAATATTTTAAAGAAAAGGGGAGAGAAAAATGAATTTAAAAAAAGGAAGGAAGGAGGAAGGGCAGAAGGAATAAAGACAGAAAGAGGTGAAGGCAAAGAGAGGGGGACAAAGTAGGGGAGGGAGGCAGAGGAGGAGAAAACAAGAGTAACATCTCTTCAACCCCGTCCGAGCTAAGCTGGTGCAGGATGGGAGGAAGCTGCCTGGGACACAGTTTCCCCCCATGGATGAAGCATCAAGCAAATCATCTTCACTTGCTTTCCTCCTAAAGAAATCATTTTAGTAATGTGTAGCTCAAATTTAGGACTTGTCCATGCTAGGCTGATTAACATCTGGATCCCAACAAGTAAGATGTAGGGCGCTCTATCATGAGCCACATGAGCCCTTGACCTGGTCAGCAAAGCTCAGAACGGCACAAAGTTTTCAGAAACAAAATTAGTCCTGAAAGTATATGACTTCCTCCCTCTGAGTTTTGGTTATTTAACTTAAATGCATGTGCACATGCACACGCACACACACATACACACACACAGTGCTGGAACTTAAGGTTTTTCAAGTAATTAAGCACAGGCATGTTGAACATCATTGTCTTTCCATAGCACAATTAACATGACAGTGTTTTCAGCCCAGGGCTGACCTCCCCTTTTTGATTCCTCTAACAGAACCATCCCACCACACAATCACTTGCTGGTTGACTTCAGTGTCCTCCCTTTCCCTCTTGCCAGCAACCCTGAATGACAATGTCACTCTTTCTTACGGTTCTGCGGACACTCAGATAGGGAGTTGGTTATTTATTTTCTTAATAAAAAGAAGAGCTCATTTCAAAAGCACACAGCGAAGGGGAGCTGGGCCACACCAGCTAAATCCCACTTTTGTATTTGATGAGCTTTATTGAGGATTTGCATACTCAGTAAGGAAAATTGACAGACACTCTGCTCCTTGTTATTATTTCGCATCCTATCACTGATTCTCTTTTGTCCCATTTGAACCCCCAGAATTTTCCTCTTAATTTTTAAGGTTTTGTTCTCATGGAAGTATTAACAACAGCAACGTCACTGGAATAAGATAGTGAAAGATAAATGATGTCCTTCACAGTTCTATAGCTAATCATTAGCATTTATCTAATATTAGATTATTTATTAGATGGTTACAACGTTGTAACAGGAGAACAAAGAGTTATATGTAGACATAGATCTAGCTCTAGCTCACACTGTGTCAATCACTGATTATCTCTTTCCGTTTTCACCATAAACCCATTTTACAAATGCAAAAGAGGCTAAAGGAAGGGAAGTGACTTGCTAAAGCCATCCTCAAATAAGTAAGTGC